GTAATGCGGACATTTTTTGAGAATTGTGAATTTTTTTTTTTTTTTGCAAGGGAAAAATGAAGGAAATGAACAAGGGAGTTTTCTGACTATTCCCTTTGCAGCTCATTTCACCTGAAATACTTGTTTCCTCAGGCAAGCTCTTCATCCTCCAGCCTCTCATCATTAAATCCCTCAGTCTTTGTCATGGCAACACCTGACAAACCCTGCCAAACCTTTTCGTTACCTTGTCCCCTTGAGAGCACCACCTGACCTCTTTCTCTGGTACCAGCAGTGCTCCAGTAAGACTGCAATTCTTTTTTCAGTCGGACCCACCTCACCCGTTACGGAAACACAACTGTCTGTAATAAAACACAGTGCATGGTGCACAATGATGCTGTACAATGACAGGGACATGAATCAAATGTCTGAGATGAATAAAACCAATGTAAATTTAAATAGGAGAATGATTATCGAAGGTGGAATTAGGTTTGGACATATGATAAGACTCCATCCGTCTGTGAAAAATGCCAGAAGATTTTTAATGAGATTTTCAGTTATAAACATTGAGAGACCATCAGTCCTGAGGTGATAAGATTAGAGTTTGATTGTGTGTAGCTATGACAATAGAAGTGTATATAGAGAACTGACCTACTGTAGAAAAGCAATTAGAGTCTATAGGGGGACTAATCAGCAAATAAAACAGCTATATAAAGTATCCCATGACAAAAAAATTTCATATATACTCTGTTATAATTTAACAAACACTTGTACATAAAATTGTGGTTATGGGTGACTTGAGGCATGAAATGGTATAAAAGAAGAAATTAAAGCTCTAATAAATTAATGTTGCTTGAACCAATATGCCGTTAGGCATAATGCATTGCAAAGGACAGGACAATTAAGGAATGGGAAGGGAATTAATTCTGGGATCTAACATCCAGATGCCATGATCTGAAAATCAAAACCAACTTCGACATTTGACTTTGGGTTAGGAGAATTGACTTAGAAATGGACTAATCGTGCATAAGAAAAGACTTATAAGGGTCAAATTTAGAGCCATGTTAATATGCACCTGTTAAGTCTTCATATGCCTCATCAGAGGTAGTTTATGAGGCCTGAGGAGCCTTCACCTCCAGTGGGACTGGCAGCTTCGGTCCAGCGGGCAGGTTTGTACCTGCAGACCCTGCTGTCATTTCCCTGGTACCAGTGGGCCTTATCCAACCATACGCCAGCTGTGCTGCCCCTGCCTCTCCTGCCTTGTGCTGCGTAATTGTGTTTTACGTCCTGCCAAAAGGCAAGAAAATGGGACTGGGCTCAGCGCTGTGGCTATGTGGCTGCTGGCTCAAGGCTGGTACGTTTGATTGGTGAAATAATAATAACAACGTTTGCTTGTCACTACCTGCCAAAGACCCTTTTTACAGACTGTGACGCTAATATCTGTGCCTCAGAGTTATGCACTCCTGGCACTGGTTGTCTGTAGCTGACCCATCTGTTATTTCCATCTGCTCTTCTTTTTCTTTCAAGTTTACAAGTTATGTTCTGAAATGTAATTCAGCTCCCATTGAACTATTTTTGTCTTCCCTTTATGCAGCCTGTTTAGTGTGGAAAACTGAAGGTTTAGTGCTTAGTAGCTAGTGTTAGCTTCTAGGCTAATTAATTTCCCCTAAATGAAAGAAAGAGAATTTTCTTAACTTAAAATACTTGTCTCTATTTTCTGAACTTCATCCTCAAAATGGATTCACTTTACAGATTTCTTTTTTTCACTAATTAATTCCATTGCCATTTATTTTCCCTCAAAGAAAGAGCCCCGTGGCTGGTTATCACAGAAGCAAACAAAGTGCAATGAAGTACATTTCTAAGGAATTTAGATTTAGTGATTATATGGACAACAACCTTCACAACTGCCTTTTGAGAGCACTCCCTCCTCTGACCACAAAGCAAAGCTTTGCTCAGGTGCCTTGCTGTAGTTCCACCTCTTATTTTAAACAGGTACCCACAGCACTGCTCTCTCAAGGAGACAAGATTTGATACTTTCTCTTCAAGTGTAATAATCATCAAATATGTGGTAATGAGTACAATATTTTTCCCAGGAGTAGTAAAGTAGTTGAAGTAAAATGTTTGTCCGTGAGTACTCGACCTAATGACATACTGACAGTATGTGGATTGTTTGTGTGCGCAATGTAAAGAAAGGATTTAACAAACTTTCATGTGTGAGGTGTTCAGTATTAAAAAACAACAAATAGGTAAGTATTGCATAAAACAGGAAATGTGCTATCTAAAGCTTCTGATCTGGATGCAAACCTCTTGAAGGTCTCCCTACCCACGATCGTATGTTCCACAGATGAGTTCAGCACCCAGCTGAACACCAAATGAGGCCCAATGGGCCATCCTTCCAGTATTTGCTCCTGTCAGCAACTTGTGCTCTGCATTGGGACATTTGGCCATGGTAGGGTAAGTCCTCATGACTTCAGTGGAAATTTGCAGGGAGCTCATCTGTACAAACCTTACTACTGGAGCAGTGGAGCAACTTGTCAAAAATGGACATTACTCCACAGTAAATCTCATCCTGCTAAGAGTAAGCCGCAAAGGGTGTGTATAACCTACACAGGGTGTGCGGCTTGGGCTTCCCATGGTGGCAAGGGGAATTACAACTTAAGAGCAGTGGTGGCATATTTGTCCTCTTAAATGCCTGCTGTTTGGCTAAAAGTTAGGCAGGTAGCAGGAGTGTCTTCCAGCAGGGAGAGAGAATTGGGCAGGCAGAGGGTGAATCCCTCCATCCTAAACCATGAATGGTCCCACCAAGGTGTCTGTTTGTTGGAGTTGCCTACCAACAGATGTAACAAAAATTAAAACATCATGCTTGTTGCAAGATGCTAAATAAAACCAGCCATTTAATAAACCCAATCCATTTTAGTATAATAAAATACATCAGGTATGGGATATTTTATGAAAATGTTTAATTCAACTGTTTCTTTGGAATGTAGTAGTCATAGTTTGGAAATTTAAGTTACAGTTCAGTTCTATGTGATTTTTTAAATGCTACTCAGTGTCTGAGAATACAAATGTCATTTAAAGTTAAGGCTTCGCTGTTCATTTTGAAACAACAATTTACAAGTGTCATATTGTCATAGAAAATAAAAATTTCTGTAAAAAAAATTTGCACAAAGTTTTATGATGGTACAAAACATGAAGCAATAATATACCAGTAAAATGAAATCATTTTACTACAGAAGATTTTTATAGTTTTTCAATAAAGAAAAAAATATGTTATTTTACACTTTAAAAATTATGAAACAATCTAAAACAATATAAACTGAACATTTTGTAACACTGCCTTTACAAATTAATAACTTTATAAACATATAATTTTTTTAAATATATTTATCAGTGCAAGATACTTTTCAATGTAAAGTTGCAGTATCATTTTTCCTTTATTGAAGGGCAACTTTCATTCTATTACCTTCAGAGAAATCAAATCTTCAGTGCTAGATCCTCATTATCATAGTAAGGTCTGAAGACAACAAAGGAGATATATTTCATTTTGCGTTCACCATTCTCAGTATGTTAAAAGAAGACAAAACCCCAGCAACCACCAGCTTTACTGTTCAAATAGATCAAGACCAAGAGCTGGTCCACAATCTATTGAAATCTGTAGATCCATGGGAATATTTCAAAAGGGTTTGGGCCTGGGGTCCCCCCATTGGGATTTTCTTTTCAAGGCAATATATGCATGTAATTCTCAGTCAAGTCAGTGGACTAGAAGTGTTTTCAGAACAGACCCTAACACCTGAAACACACAGTGATGGTGTACTTAAAATACTTTTGAAAAAATCCTTTTTCTCTTTGGGTTAATTAACTAGCTGCTGCGATACCATTATGGTCAAATTACAGTGTTAGATACAAATGAAAATTCTACCTCTGCCAAAGTGAGTTTGTCACTTGGGACTTTTAATGGACTAACTTTTAGGCAAAACTTTCAGGCCTTAGGTGCTCTGTCTCACCTTCTGGAAGAGCCGAGGTCTAGATCTTGGGGAGGTAACTCTTCCAATTTAGGCATCTGAGGTCTGATGACCTGAAGTGGGTGTTTGAAGTTTCACTATAGTCTTTGCCTTTAGGACTCCTTTGAAGTAGCAACTGTCCACTGTTTTTTTTCTATTGGGTTGTCCTTTAAAATATTTCCACTTCAAAACTCACATTTTTACCTCCAGCCTCCCTCTCTTTTCTTCAATTTGTAGGTTACTGGTGGATTTTCTACAGATTTTTCTGTTTTATGGTTCATATTGGTGAAATGATATGCTTCAAAACATTTAATTGATAAATAGGGGTGGATTCTGTTACTCTATGTAATTCAAGGCTGAATTAGCCCTTCTTTAGTCCTAATCCTGGACAGGATACTTCATTGCTTTACTACAAAAGCAGTTTTGGAAAAGACTAACTCAGAAAGTCACAATCACTTCCCTGACTCTACTCAGGGAATTCAGTGAGGAAAAACATAAATTCAGCACTTTGCAGGACGTTCCTTTCCCCATGTTTGCACTGGTTTTATCTGCTGGTTGGTAGATACGCAGGGGAAGGTTAAAGCTGCCTTCTTCCACTGCCTCCCCAGTTATGGCTGTGCTGTGTGCGGGCACTGCAGAAAACCCAGGGGCTCCCCTGGCACCTGCAGGAGAGGAGCAATCCCTCTGGTCCCTCGCCTCTTCCTATGGACCCCTGCGGGAAACAAACTCTTGTTTCTTTTTACCCTGTTGGACCAGATGCATAGGCTGTTGAATATATTTGTCCAATAGTATTTGTCCTAAAATATTAAAAAATTGCCACATAATTGTCAAGCACATTTTCCCAACAGCTTACATTACTCGGCTCACTGAATCTGTCACTATCTGCACTTCTGGTCAAACAGAAACCTCCTGGTATGAAAAGCCAATTGGATATAGCAGGATGATAAGAACATACCCTACATACACTGTGGGATTTTATTCTGCCCTCAGTACCCACGCGTAAGACCAATTAGCATTGATTAGCATGAAAATACACGTTTACTGAGAGAACAGAACTCTGGGTTCAGGTAGGGGCAGGAGGAGGAAAGTTTCTCTTTTTACAGGCAATCTTTTCAGTAAGGGAATCATTCTCCCTAGTGTAATTAACAGGCAAGCTGTTCAGGATAAAAGACATATTTCACGACTTCAGGAAAAAAGATACTGTCACTTTATGCTGTTAAGAAGAAACCCAAAGTTCGACTTTGGAGGGTAAAGTTAAGAATTTTCCCTTATTTTTTAACACAAACTCTAATAAAATCCTTTGCCATTACCAGCAAGTTAAAGCTGCAGTTTTCTTTCCTTGGCAATGGCAAATGCTTATGCAATCTACTCAGAAAGAGAAAAAGAGAGAGAAAGAGAAGAGAAAGGGAGAGAGATTTTACATTTGAAAATACATTCTATATGAAAGAACAATAAAAGGGGATATTGCAGCTTTATACAAAAGGGTCAAGAGACATGAAGTTGAAATACAGAAAGCAGAACAATCGAGCCAGGTTGTCAAATCTGATTAGCCCTTGTCTTGCTGAGGCTACTTTCTTACACTAAAATATACTTTTCTTTTAGTCAGTGAGCCATTAGAATATGATTAAAGACAAGGGCATAACTGCAGAGAAGCAGAGCTGTAGTTAATGTTAACACAATGAGAAGCAGTACAAACAAAAAGGCACTTGAGAGGACATACACTAGCCAGTGCCAAGGACTTTTTTTGTTTAGTTTTTAGGCAGTACACTTGGTTACCAGTTGTGTCTGATGATGGCACATACTCTTTTATGGCATTCACAAGCACAAAATTTAGTACAACACTGAAAAACATCAATAAAATTTGACTGTATTGCTTCGTAAACAGAGCTGACACACTATATCGGTACTGATGCAGCAGTACTTTCAAAAACATCCTAACCCTTCTTTGCCTATGCACAACACGAGCAATTATACACAAATACAGGTGCAGGAGTCCACTAAATTGCTGTTACTCCAATATTTTCTGGGCACTGAGCTACAGACAGCATGTCCATCCAAAGGACCCCACTGAATACATTTTGTGACAGCATCTTGGATTTTGCACAGTAAAACCCAAATTATCCATTAACAGAAAACAAGAGAGAGGGAGAGAAAGAAAGACAAAATGAACTATAAGTCAATCATACTTGGTCTCAACACCAGCATTTGATTATTTCAAACAAAACCAACAGAAAAAGCAGACTGTACATGATTCAGATTGTTAACACAGATTGTTGTCCATGTTTATCGGTTACACACTCATTGAAGCTCCTGAGAAAAGCTTGGCTCAGTGTCATCAATGCACTTTTCAGCCTGTACAGTAAAAGAAGATCAACAGTTCCCCAGCATGACCGAGCTATGTCCTTCCATCCCGATTCTCTGAAACTTCTCTAGTTGCTTTATACCTTCATGCTTCCGAGTATGAATTCTGTGTGTTTAGTTTATCTTTTTTCAGTTTCACACCATCGACCAGTTCAAAATTGTAATTCTCCAGTGCAGACAAGTTCCTCTCTGACATCCCATTGTGCCAACAGGCACAGTACAGGACAACTCCACAGATGGCTCCTAAAAGCACCCCGAGTGCACTCATGGCTATGATGGTAATAAGGATTGGATCTAGGGTCTTCAGGACATTGCCTGGTTTCCTGGAGATGTTATCATCGTAGTCCTCGCCTGTATGGTATGGAGGTGTAAACCCTGAAATGGAGTAAAGAATTGCAAAATTTTCAGAACCAATTCTAGTTAGAACTTTGTTTGATGAGTTGGAGATTTGGAGAAAGGACATCAAGTTTTTGACATAAATTGTTACATAATTTGAAAACCTAGCTTCTAGGAGGTAGTCATAAATAGCTGAAAACTATGTGGCCCAAATAATTGTTGATTTTTTTCATACTGTTCTCCAATCCTTGAATCTGCTGCATGGTAGTAGGGGTCTGATTCTGCCTTGGATTAAGTGGGAGTCTTGGGAATGAATAACCAGATCTTTTGATTATATTTTGCCAGCTTTCAGTATTTAGCTCAAAAATGTTAATTAAATCTTGTTCAGCTCCGTGTGAAGGTTTATAGCCTTAGACATTGATTGGGAATCTCCAGCCTTTTTGCATCCATCTCCACTTCACTGACTTCAGGATTGGACCTTGAAATGGAAATAGTGACAGGACTGACACAGAAGAGCACTCTGCCCCGTTGTGTAAAATATTCACTGAGTATCATAATGTTTTCCCTCAACCCTTTCAGTTTATGAAAGAGATCCAATAAGCTTGCAAACCCTGCTAACTGTTGCAGGAAAAGCCAAAAAGTCTTTTTGGATAAACTCTGCTTTCACTGAAATCAATGATAGCAATCCCGTTGACTGTAACAGAAGAAAATTAAGCTCTGCCTGAAAAATGCAAGTATATTTTATTATTGGGACAATATGACAATTACGATCCATTTAATGATCCATTTACAGCTATCATCATTGAAAATGATAATGTTTTGGTAGACTGGTCATAAAATGACATTTTCAGCCAGGTCTGAGAAACAATTAGCCTGAAGAGTTTTGAGCCTAATTACCTAGACACTGCGTGAATCATAAATTGTAAGATATAATGATAGCTGTTTCTTCAGCTGTGGACAAGCTTTCTAGATAACAAAATATTAAGGATCTATAGTGTGCATGCTTATATATGTACACAATGTGACAAATTATGTATAAAAAATTTGAAAGGTTTGAGATAGGTATGAATAATACAAAGTCCATAAGATTATATGACACAGAAGAATAAAACTATTAAATTCTTCAAATGAATGTAAGCCTTCTTAGCATCTGATCTAGATAAATCAAAAAACCTTAATACAATACGCAGTTAGAGAACTAATCTATAAACAAATAGAATACACAAATTCCCATGAAAATGCACTTTAAAATTAATTCCCTTTTAACAATAACACAATTTTTACCTGTTTGATTACTTTCTGGGTCTTCTTCTTCATCTATTTCATTCTCCACATCAGTTGATTCTAATGAAGCAAAGAGAATTGACATTGATTATTAGGGTTACAAACACTGATTGACTATCATGCTGGCAATAATGGTATAGCAGATTTTCCTGTGTCAGAGCATCATTATGTCAGCTTGACAGAACTGTTCATTATGAAGGGCTCTGAAAATTAATGGAGAAAAAGAAAGATTTAAAAACTCCTCTCCGCCCAGTCTTGGCACAGTTTTAGTTATCAGCAGGGGTTTTCCATGCTGGGAAAGAGAAATCAGTGTGATGAATTAGCATCTCATTCATTGTATTTACAATTTTGGAGCCCAATTCCATAACACTTCATCAGCGTTGGCATAGTTAATCACAAGAACAGTTTCATTGACTGCAGCGAGACCACTTGTGTTTGGGCTTCAGACTGAGCTTTTGGCTTTAGCTCCCACAGGCCAAAATCTTTGCTCAGCATTTGGTTTGAACAATCAAAACATGTGGAGGTAGGAAAGAAGTTACTTTCCTCTCTCATTTTGGAGTCAGATAAATGTCATCACTGGTCCCAGCACCCTTCTTGGCACTGAGGACACACTGCAGGAGGACCAAGCAGTGAGTCTTGCCTCTCTTTTCTGGTAACTGTCACTCTGGTGGCATATGATGAACCCCAGGAGAGGGAATGTGTGATAAAAAGGGATTGTACAGTTTTCTCATCCTGCAGTGAAATTACCATATAGTTGGAGTCTGCCATGTTACCCTCAAAAGGCTATTAGCTACAAAAGGTGAGGAACACCCTCTATTATTGCTCCCAGCTGTGTTGCCAACTTGCATGGCATAAGTTTATATTTCTAATGCTGCGGGTTCTCAGTTCTATTGCCTCTCCTACATAAAAGTCATTGCTTCATCTCCATCGTGAAGGACAGGGTTCAGTTGCTTGTGTTTGTCTGGGGTTGCTGCTGCCAAATTACGTGCAGTATGCAATGCACATATGATCAGCAGTGACTGGAATAACTCAAGACTGGCCAGAAATAGAAGGACTCAAATAGCATCTCAGGAATAGCCTGGCTCAGATGTGGAAAAGGCCATGTTCTAACATTACTTCGTGTCCCACATGTCTGGGATCTGGTGACTACAGCGAACGAGTTGCAGCAAACTCAGAATTGCAGGACAGCAGAGGACAGAGCAGGGGCCATTTTGCCCTATCTGTGTATCCTGTAAGGGTTTGATATGGTCCTTTAAAATAGAATTCAAGTAGGCTTGGTAGTAAGTGATCTGAAAAGGGTGAAGAAATAAAATTGAATTTTGAACATTAGTTAAAACAGGGAAGAGCATTAGGAAAACCAGAAATTTAAAGAGGGCAGCAATCTAAAATATAGGGAGGGATGTGAGAATGGAAACATGCTGTGACCCATGTCAGTAGGATGACAGTGCTGATCCAAAAGACTGCAGCTGCTGCGGTACTGAGGTGACACCAGTGGCACTTGGTATGAATAAAACTATGGGCCAGATCAGGATGTTTTCAGTGCAAGACTTCCTATATAGTCAATAATTATCTATCCCTTTCTCACAGACAAAAACAGCTGTCAAAACAAAATAAATAATGTTTTGGATGAGATGTCTATATGTTCTTGCTATTTGTACTTACTTCGGCAATCCTCTTGTGCTACATGATTGTCAATTTTAATATCATCCACGGCAATTCCTCCAGTTCCTTTTCCAATTTCTCCCTCAATAACCACCTGGCAAAATAAGATAGTGTTCACATTGTTTTCCTGTTAATACACAATTGCAGCATTCAGGGTATCTTAATTAGTTGTTAACACACATCTTCACTTGTCATGACATTCTACATGTACTTTGATTGTGGCCTGCCAATCTGCACTGCATGCCTTTATGAACTTATATGTGCAAATGTGAATTTATATAATGTCGTAACTTCATTAAAGACTTTTACATCAGCAGCAAAACTGTGTCAAGGATGCAGTTTTGTGACAGACAAAAAACGATTTCAAAACTATTTATTTGGCCTTCGATAACAAATTGCTTATATCACTGTCATCTGAGATACCATGAAATATGCCACTATTATTGCTGTTACAGCAACTCATCTGTAGGTATAATACTGTCTACATAAATCCTTCAGTGACATTTTCTGCTATGGTGTGTAAAACATGACGAGCAAGGTCTTACTGGCCTCGGCTCCATTAGTTCAGCAAGGAGCAGTCAAGCTCACCTGATAGTGTTTCACAGACTTGTGAAGAAGAACACGTCCTTCCTTCCAGCAGTTTGCCTGGTGCCCACTCAGGGTCCACAGCACCTGGTCATATTCATCTGGCTTTTGGTACCGCAGTTTGATCTTCAGGGTGCCAACGTGTGCACCAGACATGTGGTACCAGAAAGTCATGCAGTGGGCAGAGTTCTGCGAGTAAATCACGGGGCTCAGCAGTCGGGCAACTTTCCCTTTCTGGCTTTCGTCAGCTTGCGAATAAATGAAATTGCCATCTCCTACTGTGACAGAAGGACTGTGTTAGGAATAGCCACCAGCTTTTTTTTTTTCTTTGTATACCTAAGAAGCCCCAACCACCCCTGATCATTTTGTTTTCCTTCCACACTGATGGGTCAAGCCTCACAACCAAGAGAGTCAAGGAGTTGGTTTGGGAACTCTAGGAAAGCTGAGGTACTCTATGGAGAGTTTATTTTTTCTGGCAGTCTCCTTTGCTGTTCATTGGGATGCTTTATGTTGAGAGTGAACCGTAACAACATGTTCACTACGTGGCACACACTTATTTTTGCTCAGGGAAGGAGGCAAAAGCATGTTTGGTGCAAGAGCATATGCTCCATTAGTCAGCGTGCACCTCCCGAAGAGACCCAGCCCTAGTTCAGCAGACTAGACAGAAATCCCTGGGGCCTACTCTACACTAATTCTGCCAAGAGCTATTTTTAATCTCTGTTTAAAGTCATCTGTGTTCAAGAAGGCAAGATTAGAATGGGAAGAACACTGGCGGATAACATAGCTTTGAACAGCCATGGTCAGAGATCAGGAACTGAGATCTAAACAGGGCTCCTAAATAGAGTCTGACAATTGTCCCAAATGGTGCCAGAGTTTTTCCCTTGATTTTTGTAATAATATATTTGGCTCTGTATATTTGTGAGCTGTTTCCCAAAAGAGTAAGATTATGGCTGGTATTTTCTGAAGAGCGTAATGGATTTATAGATGTTGAAATCTGAACACCTAATGCCCTTAACTTGGAAAATTAGTTGCTTAATCACACTGGGAGAGAAGGACGTGGGAGTGTGATTAGTTTGGTAATAGAAAATTGCTAAGTAAGATGCTGACTACAGAGAAGTGCTTCTGACTTTCACCAGCCAGGCATCCATTCCAGTCAGCTTTTGAACAGCTTCTTTGCAGAGAATTATGGTGGAAAAATATGAAGCTCATCCTTGTATGTGTAAGAATATATTGCATGTGTAATGCACTCACACAGAAGGATGGAGACAGCACTTACTGGCATTGGTATAAAGTTATTTTGAAAGTAAGAAGGAGAAAAGTAATAATAAGAAATACTATTGCTCAAATGCTGAAATAAGTATACATATCTCTGTTTATGCCAGTGCTTAAACAAAAGAAAAGTAAAAAGAGGCAAAGGAAGATGTTTTGGAAGGGTGGTGTCTTATCAACATTGGGTTTTGATGTCCTTGAATTTCATTTGAAATAATGTGTAATTGAGACTTGCTGGATTGTAATGGTATAGTCCTGCACCAATGGAGAAGGGAAGATGAGCACTGCTACTCTGGGAAGGATAAGAAGGACATGGTATTAAAAGATGAACCAGGAACAAAGAGGAGTGGGTTAAACCCAGTGGCTGGAAGGAGCGGGCCTAATAAATAATAAGAAGAAATATTTCTTCTAACATGAGACAAGGACTTTTTCTTTTGTGTGGATTTTTCTGTGGGCAGTCAGAGGTATCTTAGCCAATATGCATGTGGAAGTATCTGGTCTTTGAAAGAAATTTATAAGGGAAGATGATGTTAAAGTGCCAAAAAAATTTAGCCTTTTTTTTTTTTTCTATCTTACTGCAGTAATATCTTGTCCGGCTTCTTCAGTGGGAGTGCTTGTGCCTATATGTTCTTTCCAACTTTTTTTTCTGTGCAGAGGGCAGCACAACATGTGCAAATGTCATCAAAGAATCATAGAATCATCGAGTGGTTTGGGCAGGAAGGGACCTTAAAGATCATCTAGTTCCACCCCCCCCTTCCACTAGACCAGGTTGCTCAAAGCCCCATCCAACCTGGCCTTGAACACTTCCAGGGATGGGGCACCCACAGCTTCTCTGGGCAACCTCTTCCAGTGCCTCACCACTCTCACAGTGGAGAACTTCTTCCTTACATCTAATCTAAACCTACCCTCTTTCAGTTAAAACCGTTACCCCTTGTCTTATCACTTCATGCCCTTGTAAAAAGTCCCTCCCCATCTTTCCTGCAGGCCCCCTCTAGGGGCTGGAAGGCTGCTGTAAGGTCATCCCGGAGCCTTCTCTTCTCCAGGCAGAACAAGCCCCACTCTCTGAGCCTGTCTTCACAGGAGAGGTGCTCCAGGCCTCTGATCATCTTCATGGCCCTCCTCTGCACTTGCTGCAACAGGTCCATGTCCTTCTTATGTTGGGGGCCCCAGAGCTGAAAGCAGTACTCCAGCTGGGGTCTCACGAGAGTGGAGCAGAGGGACAGAATCAGCTCCCTTGACCTGCTGGCCATACTTCTTTTGATGCAGCCCAGGATGTGACTGGCTTTCTGGGCTGCCAGTGCACGTTGCTGGCTCATATCCAGTTTTTCATCCACCAGTACCCCCAAGTCCTTCTCCTCAGGGCTGCTCTCAATCTACCCATTGCCCAGCCTATATTTGTGCTTGGTAATGCCCCTACCCATGTGCAGGACCTTGCACTTGGCCTTGTTGAACTTCATGAGGTTTGCATGGGCCCACCTTTCAAACCTGTCAAGGTTCCTCTGGATAGCATCCCTTCCCTCCAGTGTATTGACTGCACCGCACAGCTTGGTGTCATCAGCAAACTTGCTGAGGGTGCACTCAATCCCACTGTCCATGTCACCAATAAAGATGTTAAATAGCACCAGTCCCAATACCAACACCTGAGGAACACCCCTCATCACTCCTTTCTACTCGGACATTGAGCCCTTGATCACAACTCTTTGAGTGCAACCAACCAGCCAATTCCTTATCCACTGAGTGGTCCATCCATCAAATCCACATGTCTCTCCAATTTAGGGACAAGGATGTTGTGCAGGGAATGGTGATGGGGAAATCCAAAGGGAGTAAAAGAGGAAAATAATCACAGCATGAGGATGGCTGTCTCAGTTGGAAGATCTAACGCTGACCAGATTTAATCATATCATGTATAATTTGAAGTGACATACAGCGTATCCTGCTGTCTTAAAGCAATTGCTGTTGAAGATAATTTCTGTGGAGTTTCTTCAGGTTTATACACGTGCAGCTGAGAGCCAGATATGCCTGTGAGTTGCTCATTGTTGTTCTCCCAATATATAGGGTGGCCTTGCTGTATAGCAGTGACACTGAGGGGCTTGTTTGGGATGTCAGTGCCATTCAGATTGCTCATGGTCTGCGTTCACACCCACCGTACTCATTCTGTACCTGCTGGCAGGTGAATGGCAAACCTGGCGGGTGAAGGTGCCCTTAGAGTTGAAGGAAAATTTTGGAAAATATTGAAAGTTAGTGCAGTAAGGAGAAAAAGGGGCTGCACGTAAGAGTTACTGAAGCTACAGCTAATGGAACAAGTAAGTCTTCTGCACTTGCAGGGCCCAGCGGAAACAACAAAATCTCATTTGAAGAATATCATTTCTTCATCTCTTGATTGAAGACAGGTTCAGTCGCTCTATAATCCGCGGTGGCAAAGTGCAGATAGCTCTCATTTCCAGAATATTATTGCAATGCCGGGTCAGGAACTCTGTCTTCATTGTCTTAATTAGAGCTTTACTTATGCATGCCTTTTAGATTTTGTCAGTCTCTGGCTAACATAGCTTTTAACCTCCTTTCAATGTCAGATCCTACTGAGCCATTTCACTTTACTCTACATCAATTTTTCCACCATTACAGCCTTCACTTCAGCTAACTGCATTTAGTTAATTTGATGCCATTTATTTGTACAATGCCATTTATAGTCAAAGTATTATAAGTTTTTTTTCCCTGAAACTACTGTACTTGTCTTAAGATTCAATTGAAAGTGTCTCAGAATTTAAAAAGTCCAATTTTGTCTAATTTCCTTGTCATTCTCATTAAGCAAAGGGGTTGCAGAAGTGGGAAGGGGAATTCATTTCAACACATTTGATTAATCTGCACGTATACAAGAGAGAACACTAAAGCGAGAGGCTGTGCAGGTCACGCAATGCCCTCCCTTCTCCACTAGCCAGCAGCATATTTATTGCCTAATTATGCAGAACCATGAGTTAGATACTACAAAACCAACCAATCAATTTCCCAGGGTGATATTTCTGGAAAAAACTGTGTGTGAACAAAGGGATAGCTATAATCTCCAACTCCTGCCAGAGAGGAGGAAAGTGTGGAAATACATCCATCTGGGAAGCTTCACTTACAGTGCCTTTCTGTGGTGGGCAGTTCCTGTAAGTACAAACAGGAATAATGTGAGATTTGTTTGTGACTGTATCACTTGGTAAGTGATATCTGCAGAGTATTTGGTCATTCAGATTTTTTTCCTACCCCTATTATGGTTATCCAAAGGCAAGTCAGGGGAAGGCAATATCTTCAATTCCTGGCAGTAAATGATCTTTATTCCCCAACAGAAAGGACAATTATGGTCAGTTGTGACTACATATAAGGGATTAAGTTGCCTAGAGAATCATCTTTGTGACTCTACATATTTTAGGTATAATTCACTCTCCTATGGTTTTGGAAGGCATGTTGGTATTAAACAGAACAACCTCTTCCCACGTAAAATGGCTAAATCATGAACTCATGATTACCTGTATGGTCTTGAATCGGCCCAGTTTTGCTGGTCAGGATTGCCCACTTTAAATCCACCTGGTTGTCGTGCTCCCAGTGGCACAAAGTCTTCTGGGATCCCCAGCCAAAGGCACAGTTGAAGTTGTATAGTGGCAGCTCTGCAGGGAAAGAGGGAAAAGGAGGGACGAAATGTGATTATTAATTGCATAATTCAGATTTTGTACTTCGAAATCAAATGCATGCATTTGACCATTAACAGAACCATTCCACTTGAAACTCTGAGACGCCATGGCAAGAGCAGCTCTGCTGGGAAACAGATGAAGAACAACTATTTCTAGTAAATGATGTGGTTGTTTTTTTGTCACTTTATGACCCATATTTTGGGATTTTTTTGTGGTTAGGTTAATTCTTTTGATTTGCCCACATTAGCTGATAACTATGCTGTAACATATATGACTCAAAAAGAAAGCTATGGCTTATTTATCAGATATATTTTCTGGTTGTTAATATCTATTTGTACCATAATGGTGCAACGTTTTGCAACAACTCACAATAAGATTTGGAGAAAAATAAGAAAGGGCAGAAACACTAATGGAATGTCCTTGGCAGGACAGGATTTCTAGTGAAATGTATAGTACTTGGCTTCATTAAGGAACTTATTCCAGCATCTTCCAGACAGTTAAGTAGGCCCACAAGATGGCAGCATTGAAATGGACAAATTGAGACGGAAAAGGGACAAATGTGGCTGATTGCCAAATGAACTCAAAATAAGCTTCAAAACAAGCTCCATGTAAAACAAGGGAAGTCTGGTATTATGGTCAGAATGAGATCATATCTTGTTTTCAGCTTCTCTTCAGTTCTGCCCAAAGGTTTAATACATAGTAGCTTATTTTCTTCAATAGAACTTGGAATTTGAATGGAAAGATTATACAAAGATAGCATATAAATCCCTTGCATTTCTTCATTTCAGAAGCAGTTTGAAATCTTTTGGGCTTTTGGTTCCTACCCCATTGGTATGAACTTTTACCTCACCTTGAGCAATGACAACTCCCAGTAGAGCAATACCCTTCCCACAGCAATGAGACCAAATCCTGAAGTCTTTTCTCAAGCATGACTCACGTCTTATTAAAGGAATAACTTGGGTTTGCTTTAATGAGATGCTTTGTGCAAGTACGAACTAAGAACAAAGGACTCTGCTCTCATCAATATCAGCTCTGGGGGAAGAATTGTGTTTCTTGCCCATTATTAAAAAAAAAACAACCCAGGAAAGATAATGCAAGCTCTAGAATGTGTTTTGTTTATTGTGGGAAAATATGGTGAAATACGGGAAGTGTGTTGGGACCTGTGGCTGGCCAGACCTTTGAGGTGGAGCTCTTCCAGTCTGAAGAGGCAAAGACCTCCTCCACATAGTGAGCTGCCCAGGGAAGACTGGAAAGGGTTTTGAACTTACAACCCAGGTTTTAATGGAAAGTAAACTAGAATAATCATTTTATCAACACAGAGAAAAAGTCAGGTGAGTAGCTTGAGACGGAACGGATATAAAAAGTGTTCATCTGTCATTCTCTCCTTGCCTGCTGTGTCCTTGTTTGGTGGGTCCTTTCTCCCAGACAGAGTTTTAACTCAACCCACTCGATTCCTGCACTGCAGCCACTGTGCCCTCTCCCCTCTGGCCTGTAGAAAATTTCTGTCAGTCAGCAGAGAGGTCTGAGTGTATGGCAGCTCCTGCCCCTCTTCTCTGCCTGTCTGTACCTCGGCTGCGCTGCGGCATCTCTCTGCGCTGAGCCCTCATTCTTCACTCCTTCCTTTCATCTGTCCCACCCTGCCTGCCTCCCCACTCCCTCCCGCCGGCCTCCGGAGGGGTCTATTCCACATCGTCACGAACACAACATCCTAGCTGGGAACAAATGAATTAAACAGATAACGTCTGGCACAGGAATTCAATGTGGAGAAAACATGTTTCCTGGAGGACCATAGCCCTTTCTAGGAAAGGGGCCGATAGTGGTGAATAATCTCTCTTTGGGCTCAAAACGTTGAAGAAGCAGAACTCAGCCTGTGTGCACAGGAGTGCAGAAAGGCAATCCATTATGTTTCTTTCTTCAGGATATGGTTTTTGTTTTTTTTCTTTCTGGACAATGGGGCCATGATCAAAGGCATCTTGCCCAGAAGGGGACATCTGAAAATCAAGGGGAGTTTTTAAAGAAACAGAGTAACATTGAAACGAATTAAAGGGTTTTAAGTTTGTGAAAAATAGCCTTTCATTGTCAAGGAGGCCTAGAGAGAGCTATATTGCATGGCTTTGACATCAGAGCCATGAAACAGAACAAAATTAATCTTATTAATCCCAAAGGATTATATCATGCAAGGCTAGTGATAGCCCGTGTGGTATTCAAACCACAGGAGAGGAGACAGTGGTAGATAGATCACATCAGTATGAACATATCACACAGCATAAAGCAGCACATAGCATAAAGAGACTGAAAGGACTGGTATTGTTCAACTCTGTGTAAAAATAAATAGCAGAAGACACAGGAGAAGTATATAAATGGGTGACGAATGCAGAGAAGGAAGATTACAATATTCTGTTTTCTCCATTTCATAGCCTAAGAACTGTGAGGTATCCAATGAAGTCCAATGCAGATCAAAGGAAAAAAATTCTCATATGATGTGAGTGATACTTGCTTCCCTCGAATGCTGCTAAGGCTGAACACAATTCAAAGAGAACTGGACGCTGAAATGGATAAGGAAAATATCCAGAATTTAATTGTTAATTCTAAATTGCAGGGATCGACAAAAGCCTTTTTCTTCATGGTCTGAAGCCAGCTCTGACCATTGGGATTAGAAGGAGAGTTTCAAAGCAGAGCTAAATTTCACAGCACCATCTAATAAAGAATTTCTTATATTTTCGTTTGAAATATATAGTCCAGGAAATTGGCAAAGAGCCTAAGTCTGATATGCTTTGGCCATGCCTGTGTTCCTTGGCTTTGGACTCAAAGACAGCATGGTGTAGCATAAAAATGAACTTCTTTTCCATGCAGAAGTTAATGAGAATCCCCTGAAATTGAGCAGAATTTGACGAGTAACCTGCTCCCTGTTAGCTGTTTCTTGCTAGGTTCCTATTGTTTTCTTAAAAGTGATTGTGTTAATATATTCCTTAGACAATCACAGCAATGGGATTGAAGGTCAAAGGCAAGGCATTTCAGAGTGCTCTTATTTTATGGGCTCCTTAAACATGCCATCTCTTATTGTCTATTATGTCTCTTCCAATGCTTCTCCCAGGGACCCATAAAAAGAAAAAATAGACATGCTAGCCAATTAATAATAGACACTTGTAGCATCGGGCTAGGTTCATTAGTTGTATGGACAATGGATCTGCCCCAGCAAAAGACAGAACAGTTCAGCACTTCTATTAAAGGTCCCAGGGGGCTGATACAGTAGCTCACAGTAAGCTACAGGCAATCTGTCCGCTTCTTTGTCCTTGAACTATAGCTTGGCAGCTCTGGTGGAAGGAAGGAAAGTAGGGACAAGTAGCATTTAGTGGGGTCCCTCTGCAGTGCTGGCCCATTCCCCTGCTAGGATAATTCTCCTGCCAATAGGTGATTGATCTCTGGGTTTGTGTGTATTGAGAGGATGAAGAAAACCAGCTATTATGTAACCAAACAGCAGCAGTTCAGATGAGAATCTGAGAGGGAGGTGTGACGAAATCCCATATGCCTTTTTCAAAATGTAGGCTACGTGATACTGAATTAAAACAGATTTATCCTCTCAAAGAATAACCAACAGCTGTACTACTTGACCACATCTTGCTCACAGCTGGAACCATTACTGCACATGAACAAGAAAGTAATTTGAAAATCTAGTTGAGTGAGTTTCTTGCAAGTCCATTAATCTTTCGTGGCCCACAGACTTTGACATATTTTTATAACTCCTCCAACAAGAGGCAAGAAGGAGCATGATGGCATTAAAAATGCTATGAACATTCTCTATAGGATGCTCTTGCCAAAGGGTAAATCAACGTTAAAATGGGAAATTACAAACATAATTTGGACCACTTCAAAGCAGTATATTGGGTCTGATTTGTATTTGCATTTCACCTTTTTATACCACTTATGCCAGCAGCACAGAATTACCTTAAATGACAGTAAATTATAATTTAACTGCTTTAATATCCCTTTATTGATGCAAAGTTGTCCTACCGTAAATGAGAATCAGACCTATTCTACCTTTAAATGATTTCTTAGCATAGATTTTAACCTCAGGATTTCTTAGTTATATTTTTTCTGAAATAGGTCTTACATGTGTGAAAAACAAGGTACTTCTGGAACAGTCTGCTTTACAAAGAACTGAGCTTACATGCTGAGAGCACATAATGTAAATGAACAGTTTGCTCTGTGTGTAAATAGCTAAGAGTCAAGCATTTCAAATAGTCCTTTGGAATTGAAAAAGATGCATTCAAAAAAGACTAGATGTTGGTGAGTCTTAGGACTGAGGCCTGAAAGGTATTTACCTTGACAGACAGATTTGTTAAAGGCAGCTTTTAAATTTTGAGGAAGAAAGTAGATCCTCACTTAAAAAAAAATCCAAACCTTTAAACATTTTTACCAGTTTGAAATCATGATTCTTTTTTATTTTCTTACAATTCAGTCCCCTTTAAATGAACTGTAAAAGCTCCTTGATGGAAAGCTTGTTTATACATGGAGGCTTTCCAGCTATTTGCTCCTAACTGTTTCCATAGCATATGAAAGCTGGTTGGAATAGGATAATCTCAGGCTTTGACACACACAGGCATGTTAGTCTGGGATAACAAGATTAGGAGTGTTTGCAGGCTTGAATGCAGGCAGGAGGACAGCAATACATGCTGTTAGCACCTATTGCAGTAGTACCTGTGCCACCGCAGGTGCTGCTACTGGGAGGGCTGGTAAATCTGTGTCCCCAGCCACCGTGGCACAAGCTGCTGTGGCCAGCACTGGCACGGTGTAGCTCATGCAGGGTTACCCGCTGGAGCCTGCAACCTGCAACTGATCTGGAATAGCTCTTTGGCGTGGAGTTCGTTTACTTCAAGGTGTATTAGCATCTTAAGGTACACCAGCCCTTAGAGGGAATTAAGGCTGAAGCTGAAGGCTCAGTCCTTGGTGTGTTAAATTCATACCTTGTTCAGCTTGAGAATAGTTGAAAGAGCTGGAGTGCACTTATCCTCAGCCAGCTGAGGGCCAGGGGGGCCCCTGAGCAGCTCTGTAACTTCAAGGCCATTTTAAACTATGTTATTCATGGCTGCCCTAGCACAATCTCTCTCCTAGCTGCATGGCCACTTGCTCTGATGTGCTTCATCGTGCCAGCCAGGTCCAGCCGTGCCCCTTCAGCAGAAGGAAACGCTTACACCACCTTCATGCCAGGAGGGGTTTCCCCGTGTTGAGGGGAATTTCTGTCTGCCCCTTTTCGGGAGTTTTCTGGCTGGTTTTCAGTGAGGGATTATGAAGCAGCTGGAAACCTTTATGTCTTAAACTGGAGATTCTGGAAACCTTATTCTTATTTATTAGCGTCTGATCTCTATCTATGATCTTTGTAATGTGCTGCCATGTGGGAGCCTGGAGTTTGGGATGTGAACTTGTCCCTTATTCCCCGGAAGGAAACAGTTCCTACCAGCACAATGCAGGGAAGTAACATTGGCATGCTCTGAAGGGAACCTCGGAAACTCCTTTAGAGAAAAGAACTTGGCTAATCACGGAGTAAGCGAAGGTGGTGCAGGACAGAAGTAAGGAGAGAAAATGAGGATATCTTAATCTCTGGCAGAAACAGTCGATCTGTTACTGGAGAGTCCCGCCCAAGCCAAGGGGATTAAACACAACCTGCAAATGCAACTGGCACTGGGGAGGAGGGAGGAAAACTGCATTGTACAGAGGCACTTTAGGAATTTGCAATTTGTTTAAATGCAAGAAGATAGTTTAAAAACCTGTAAAAAATCCTTCATTTCAGCAAAATAGAAAGCTAAAAGATCATTTCAGCCATAAAAATTAAAATGTTTTACTCTAAACCCGCTGCATGGCATCCTTTCTTCCTTTGCATCCCCCACCCCTTTCCGAACCGTGGGATCACCAGCAGCCCTCCAGCCCTTCAGCAGCGCTGACTGTGAAATAGCAGTGTGGAGAGGTGTCCCGCGAAGGCGGGCCAGCCTGCCGTCGTGTTTCTCATTGCACCAGTACTCCACAATCTCTCTCTGCTCATAAAGCGGGGCAGAGCTAGAAATAGTCTATGCTGACTAAGCCAGCTGGATGACCCTGGAGACAAATTTTGAGAGGAGTAAAAGCATTCGCCCCTGCAATATCAGAATGCAGAGGCTGAGAGTGGCAACAACGTCTGAGATAAGTCAGCTCTATCTCTTAATCAGGTCGACACCATCAGTGTCCTTTATGAAACTTTTGCATTATTAGTCCCTTTCTTTTACTTGAAGCAAGAGCTAATTGTGTCACATGGTTGAGGAAACAATGATAAACACTTACCCACCCTGTTAATAAATCACTTGCAAGACTGGGCCTGACTGTGCCTTAATGGAGGAAATGGGAGTAACTGAAAACTGACCTCTTTACCTCTCCATGATTATTAATGCAAAGGATTTTAAACCGGTGCTCATAGTTTTTGGAGTTTCGGTTTTCTGCCCAAATCTACCCTCTCCCCCACTCCTAGTAAATTGTACAGGATATTAAAAAATGGTATGAAAGCTGTGGAAGCTGCAAACTAAGGATTTTAAAAGCTGCTAGTTATTGTATTGATTAAGTAAAAAGGACCTGCTGCCAGTGACAACTTGTTTTTCCCTTTTCAAGTTCATGGTAGCAGTTTATGTAACCCCATTTTGAGAAAACTTGGTAGAAAACAATATTGTAAAACTGCCAGCTCCCTGGTGGAGAAAACTGGCAAACTTTACTTGTCTTAGTTTTGTAAAACCATGGATATAAATAGTGAGTGGGCCTGTGTGGGTCTGTTTTTGTTTTCCCGGAGTCTGAAAACACACTTTGTGTCACTGACATGCCACATTTAAACAGAGTGCACTGTGTGATTAAGTTAGTTTAATTTTGTCAGCATTTGGCATTTGCTGATGCAGAAGGAAATCTTGTTCTCTGCTGTGTCTACATGTGGATGAAAGGAATAAAATATTTACTGTACAGAGCTGAGAGACCAGATGCTTCTTTACTTCAGAGACTTTTAGGGAATGGGAAGTCAGGAAGTGCTGCAATTCATTATTTTGTCTCTGGCATGAAATTTGGGTATGGAATTTATTATGTTTTTAATAAGAAAAAAATTTTTTTTTTTTTTTACCTGGTTGTAATGTATTGTCTATTACTGTTGGCTTTTCTGTATTCAGCACTGTAGTACCACCTGGAAAAGAAATTATGCATATCATGATACATGGGACACAACAAAGGACACAGCAGTCGTTAGGAATATCCTATATATAAATCTGAAATAATACTGTCTTTATTAGACATGTAGGTAACTAAGTATGTGAGCTTAAGCATGAAAATACGACTTTAAAGATCTGGTTTCCTTTATCAAAAAAGAAAACAAGAACTCATCATTAAATAAAGCTGTATATCTTTGGAGTGCTTGCAAACACCAACTAATCAATCCTCACCATGTCCCTGTGTCTATCCTTGTTTTATAGACACTGATTTGCTCCAAATCACATGGGAAGGCAGTGACTGATCTCTGTAGCACCTCCTGACAGTCACCAGTTTGTGCATTCACCCACGACATGTTGTTTTTCACATCAGGGACGCGAGGTCCTCCAGCCCCTGCCATGCTGGGGCCTCCCTGGATGTTGTTTCATAGCTGTGTTGTGAGACCAGCTCACAAGAGAGGTACATGGGAATTGCACGACTTTAGGCTATAGTCTAAGGCAGGTTTCACTTCTGTCTCAAAGAAAGAGCAGGAGGAATTAAGGACTTCCCCTTTGTCTTCTGCATTCAGCTCTGGGGCCCCCAACATAAGAAGGACATGGACCTGTTGCAGCAAGTGCAGAGGAGGGCCATGAAGATGATCAGAGGCCTGGAGCACCTCTCCTGTGAAGACAGGCTCAGAGAGTGGGGCTTGTTCTGCCTGGAGAAGAGAAGGCTCCAGGATGACCCTACAGCAGCCTTCCAGCACCTAGAGGGGGCCTACAGGAAAGATGGGGAGGGACTCTTTAACAGGGAGTGTAGTGATAGGACAAGGGGTAATGGCTTTAAACTAAAAGAGGGTAGATTTAGATTCAATATTAGGAAAGAATTCTTTACTGTGAGAGTGGTGAGCCACTGGGACAGATTGCCCAAAGAAGCTGTGGGTGCCCCATCCCTGGAAGTGTTCAAGGCCAGGTTGGATGGGGCTTTGAGCAACCTGGTCTAGTGGAAGGGGTCCCTGCCCATGGCAGGGGGGGGTTGGAACTAGATGATCTTTAAGGTCCCTTCCTGCCCAAACCATTGTATCTTCTTCAAGCAGATGAACAAGAGGTGAGTGGGGTCATGGCCCTCTCCTAAGCTCACTAATTGATATTTTTAAAATACTTGACTTTTTAAAGCAAGCCTCATATTGATAAAGGAAACAAAAAGTAAATTAGCACAATTATAAATGCGCAGTAGGGTGCTGATTACCAGTCAATGGCTTTTCTTTTCTCCAGCAAGCAAGTGCTTAAAGCATTATAGAAAGGATGACTATGATGACTTCCAATGAGAACGAATGCCCAAGCTATATCAGCTTTATGTTTGTGAGAATGATCTGATGGGAAATGCTATAAGCCACGCAAATAGAGTAGCTCTGTATGGGGTCCAAATAGAGCGGGAAGGAATCTGGCCTACAGCACAATTACAGTTAATTACAAGGGAGGCTTCATTGTGATACTCACATATGTGCAAGTGCCATCAGGGAAGCGACTCTAACAGTCGTACCCATGAGAACGCGGGTACCACACTTGCATCAGGAGTGGATAAAAGAGGGTAAGGCACTGATGAAATCCCCTGTGCACTGCCCTGCTATCCTTAAAGGGGCACAAGATTTACATACTTTCCTTCTATGGATTTTGGAGGAAGTAAAGAACGTTTACAATGAAATTATTGGTAAAATCACTTCTGTGCATTTTAGTGTTATAAGTAACATCATACATAACAATGCAGTGCTTCTACAGTGTCCAGAACAGCTAGGCATGCACTGCTCAGGGTTTCTAGGTGGTATAGTAATAAATTATACAGAAGTGTCTGCACTTGCGTAGAAGGGCAATGTAGTAATAGGTTCAGTTCCTCAAAAGAGCTGGCGCTCAGGAAGCCTGGTGGCTGTTCCCTTGTCTTAAAGATTATAAACTGCTCCCTAAGCACAACCTGCAAAAATTGCCAGAAGGAGTTTCTTCTGCTCAATAAGCTTTCCCTAAGGGACATGTGGGATACATTCCTGAGTTCCCTGAAGTGCAGGGACTATGAGTGAACAGGGAAGGTGCTTGCATAGATCTGTCTCCTTCCCCTCACACAGCCTCCATCTATGTGACATATGTCTCTACCTATTGGGCTTTGCAAGCCAGCCCTCAGTGTATGGCTTTGCAGGAAGCCCCAGCATTTCCTGACCTGGCTCTTTCCTTTCAGAAAAAATAATTCAATTACAATGTTTAGTAACATTGAAAACTTTCTGAGCTACCTTAACACAATACAGACTATTTTATCGGACTCCCTGCATGGCTGTTTTCAAAAAGAATAACATTCATCTGGGACACTGATTTGAAAAGCAGTGACAGTGACCGTGCAGTGTCTTTTCCACTCAGGAATTGTTTTTCAATTTATGATTTGCAACATGCATTTACAGGAGACATTGGCAAAGCTCAGAAAGGGTTTGATGCTGAAACTGCACTTTCATTCGTATCTGCTGTCGGATGTTCTACTTGGCTGCTTCCAAAAAGCCAGTGTCTTACCTAAGGTTTCCCAACGTCCTCTTGGACAGCTATTGCCAGATTTTAATGCTATTTTATATCATGGATATAAGAAGCAATAAACATTTATTAGATAAGCACACCAGGGAGCAGTGATGAAATAATTTGTGTCGCTATGTCCAAAAATAAGCTCAATTACTGTAGCTGTATAGATCTGCTACAGGAAGATCTCATCAATTAGGCCCAGAGCTTTGTGGAGCAAGTGACCTCCAAGAAGAGATCAAAAATGTAGTGGTGCACTGTCAGCTCTCTCAGAAGGACAGTAGTTCTGTGCAAAAGTGTGAGAATATGAAAACTAGTAAGCTTCCTCCATTCCAGATGCAGACTGTATTATGTTTCTTCCTCCTATTTTTCTGCTAGTGATGGCAGCTTGGAGAACATCAGCCCCTCTGTGGCTGTAATGCAGTGTTCGTGGGGAACCTCATGGAAATATTTCTGGCGCTATATGTGTGAGTATGCTTTGATGAAATGAATCTGCTCTATTTCTGTCTGAGAAAGGTTTGGGGCTGAGATTTGAGTCCTATACTAAATTTTAGGTAAGGAAGTGTATGCATATCTTGAACCTAAATAATATTTCATTTTGCGTTCTTCAATCTCAGACAATAAACCTCAAAAGGTTTGTCCAGCTTTTTTCTTAATAAGAGAAAGTTTGATTAGGATATTTGATTGGACACAATTCCTGCTCAAAAAGATTGCCCTCTCTTCCAGCTAGTCACTATTATTTGCTTCAAAAATTACATAGCTGAACAAACAATCAGAAGTATTGTCACATGTAAAAGGCAGATGCCTATGTTTTGACAGCACTGACAATACGAACTGCATACCAATGTCCATTTATGTTGAGTGATTAAATCATTGCAAATGTTTAGCTGGTAACTGGCGATGGATATGAGCTACAATGAAGCTGCAATGGAATGAGGATGGTTTCTGCACCTGTCAGTTGGTAGTCATCACCTGTGCCACTGTGACAGTTTGCCTGGTCATCATCACACTCATCCACGGGTTTGCCTTCGGAAACAGTAGGGACAGCGGTAGGAGCTGAAACAAAATCCAGGCATCCAGTTAAAACATGTGCTGGAGAATCAGCATGCAATTGGCAGTAACATTTTGATGAGCACCATATGCTGTCTTCATGTGTTGTATCTGAGGAATGAAGCAACTCTACTTTGCAGGTTAGTTAGTATTTCTTTGCGATGGGACGTATCTGTTCTGCCTCCTTGCACTAAGGCACTCTGCTGTATCTGAGCTCAAGGGCTGAGCAGAGTTGGGCAGCAAAGCCCCGGACTGCCTATTCACTGGCTGATGAGTGTTTGTTGTTCCTACCAAAGATGAGTGAAAGCCTGGCAAGGGAGAATGGGAGTCTTGGGCAGGGGAGGTGTGGCGTAGAAAACCCATCATTTTATTGCAGGCCAAAGTGCCTGTGAGTGGGCCTGTACAGAGGAGCAGGAGGGGTGCATGCTCATGGTGGTAATTCTCCAGCACCCACCACATTGCCGAATAAACCTCTCTGCAGAGCACATGTGAGAGAGGAAATGTCTGAGCAGAGTCCTCGTAACAGTGGCAGGAAGGCAGTGTGATGTAGAATCACTTTGTGCTCAATGAGGAGATCTGGAAGGAGTTTCTTTTGTTTCTGTTGAAGTTATAAATAAATAAGACATCAGTGATGTCAGTCATCCCTCCCAGCCACCTGCCTGCTTCTCACTGGTGATGACTTTCTGGTAGCTGCTGCATAACCGGTAAAAGTCTGACCTCTGTTATTACAGTTAAAAGATTGAGATTTGTGCAAGATGCCAGAAAATATATCTATACCCCAGTATCTGCAAAACATACCACATCTGGAAAATCAGAATACAGATACTTGGTGTTATGTTGAGGTTTATGTTTTATGCCTGAAGTACAGTTCCCTGGCTTAAGATAACCACTCTGGGAATGTGACCCAGGCTTTTGTCTGTTCTCACCTACTGTTATTTTCATTAACAATCTTTTACTCTCATTAGAAGCTCTGCAATTATGCATCCCTTCCTCAGATTCTTCTTTGCCCTTCTACTGGCCACATAAGACCATATGCACTGACTTCTTGGCCTGAAAATGTCAGGAGGGGTGGTGGTTTCTGAAGTAGCTATATTCTGGGATGCAACCTGGCTCTTTAGGACCCTGACCTATGCTTTACATGTACAATCTATCCCTAGTTAAAGAAACAGTTCTGTGCCTATTATGAATTATGCAGAGTGTCTGTTCCCCACATTGCTTAAAACCCCTGGGAGCTCCCTCTAGCTTTCTACATCCAGTTAAGTTTTTTGTCTTGATCTTCATGCCCCTGTATAGCCTCAAGCTTCCCTACATCTCTGCCATCATTTCATATAAGCCCCCCGGGATGCTTCGAGCACACAAAACTTCCCCTTGCTCATTACTGTTGGAGAGCTGATTTCTACTCCTGTCTGTGCCTACCTCCATGCTTCTTTTCTCATTGCAACTACTTTCTTGCTCAGTAAATCTCAAGTGACTTCTCTTCATTCAACTCCCTCCTTAAGATGCAGTTATACAACAAAGTTTTCTTATTATGCTTCTCCCGCGGGTAAACTAGAATTGACCTCACCTGTCCATGGGTGACCTACGGGTGAGCACCCTTCAAAAGTACACCATAGCAGAAAGACAAATGCAAGAAGATGTGTCCCGGGGAAAAATTGTACTCATTGTTGCAGTTTGCCTAAAAGCAAAGGTGTTTTGCCTGGTAAGTCTCCTCTTTGGCTCCTACATCTCACTGAGCAATGTGTTCTTGTAAGGAGGTCCACGGACTCATTTCTTGACGTCTAGGTGGCTACAGGGGCCCTGTGGCCAAAGGACTTGGCCCACAGGTTGTGGGTTTACATAAGGCAGGTGCTGGGTTTTCTTTTTTCTGAGCAAGTAGCACAATAGTCTGCAGGAACTAAGTATTCCCACAGGAAATGAGGACTTCCTGCAGGAACTAAGAAGTATTTCCAACCTCCCCACTTTCCGGGCCAAGTAAAAAGCATACTTATTCAATCTGGCCTTCACTAAAAAAACAACACAGAACTCATCAGTTCTCACAGCAAATGCCTCCCACTCTTCCGCCTTGGGGGAGAAATGGTGAGAAAGAAATGGAGGCAGTCGGTTCCATTCATCTGGGAGCCTGTTCAGCTACTTCTGTATGAGGTATCATATGAAATCCTGAATAATATGGTTTGTTATTCTGTGTATTGCTAAGCTGTGTGGTTTATAAGCCACGCCACTACACCATCATCCACCAGATAAAATTGTGAAATTCACGTAGTGTTATCTGTAGTTATCTATGAAGTTAAATAATTATTGTTTATATAACAAGAATCAAAGCTTGACTTCATGTCACAGTCCAAGGATAAATGTCTAAACTTTGCTTTTCCGAGCCTTTCATCTCCTACATACTCTTGCAAAATTAAAGCTTGGTAAGGAACAAAGAGGCCCCCTTTACCCCCCAAAAGGAACAGCAGACACTGTCCAGCCAAGCAATCATTGCCCACCATAGTGTCTGGTGTGACTTTCACGTCCTTTGAAGGAGCAAGGGACATAATTGCTATATTTAGAGCAAAGCTCCCTCTGCATTCTCAGAAAACATCTCTTCCAGGGTTGTATCATGGTAACATAAAATTTAAGTTCCTGTCTTTATTCTCTCCTAATAGCGCTGTGCTTCTCGAAAGTATAATCATAAGGCTGCTTAAGGGAACAGAAAACCATGTGGAAAATATCACTGTGATTCAACAAAAGAATAGGAGAAAGAATAATATTTGTGCCTTGGGCATATTCAAATGTCTGCAGAGAAGGAACTGATTAGGCCAAGAAAGAGCACTAATGGCAGTCACAGAAGCGAGAGTCCGATGTGCTGCCTGTACAGACACAGCGGTGTTCAGCAGTAGTCCAAGTAGAGAATGTATTTATGAAAATAATAAAGTGCATTCATCTCTAGCAGAGCAATTACCTTCGAGTTCACAGCCCAGCAGCTCCATTCGCAGCCCCAGTCCTCCGTGTGTGGCTCTCTCAGGGTAGACGCGGATGAATCTTGTCGATACAGGTTCAAAAGTCCGCAGTTCAGGCGTGTCATAGTTGGTGTTGCCTTCAAAAGTCTGCAAAGCATGACAAATGCTACTTGTTAAATGAAAAAAAAAAAAAAGCTATTTTCAATAATCGTCTTTTTTCCTTCATTCTCTAGTCTTTGAATTAGGTGAGCAGTAAGCCAGATTCTAACTGCTTAGTAAATGTCAGGCATTCCTGTCCTAAATGAGAATGGAAAATACATAGTTAAAGCTTCTTGGAAAAGTAATGCATTTCATTTTTCATAAACTCAGTAGCAACCAATCCATCAGGGTCATAACAAGAGCTGAGTGTTTAATGAGACATGTTTTTAAATGACGGTCTGATCTGGGGTTTAACTGGGTGACATTTTCAACACTTCTCAGGGAAAAAAAATGGCTGAGGTGAAGATCCTGTCACCTTTTAAGTGGTTACAATAATAATCCAACTATTCAAGAGAAAATTTCAATCTGATTTCCCCCAGTGACAGAGTTTCACAAGTTGTAGTTATTTCAAAAGGCATAAATTAAACTCCGGGAACAGTAGCTGCAAGAGTTCTTCCAGTGAGCCTGCTATTGAATAAGAATAAAAAGAAAGAAAGAAAGAAGAAAGCTGCTTCCTGACAAAACTGCAATATAATCCAACGGGCAAGGCAGGTCAGCAAATGTACATTTCAGACAAAAATGTCTTCTCTGAGTTGCACGCTGGGTTCTTCAGCCATAATGCCGCTCTCAATGGCATTTGTTTGATAGCTTCGGCTTCTCTTGTCAGTGATCTTTTGCAGATAGAACAAGTTATAATTTGTACTTATAGCAACACCTCGGGTGCGTCCATGGAGATGATTGGTCCTTGGAATGAATTAACTGTACAAAGAAACAGTCCTTGCCATGAAGAGTTTATAACCCAAGGTAGGCAAAGTGAGTTATTTTTACCCTATTTTATGGTGAAGAATGTATATAGCAATGAAGTAAAAGTAAAGTATTTTCAACTTTTCTATGGATTAGTTAAATGATGAAACATTAAAAAACATCTCTTTGAACTAGAGTTCAAATTTGGGATTAGAAGTGCTGTTATAAGATACTTCCAACTCATAGTTGTGAAGCCTGAAGCCTTCTTCAGGAAGAAACCACCAGAGGCCCTTCATTTTGGATGAGAACAAAACCCAACCTGCAATGAACTGCTCCTATTGATCTGGGGCAGAGGAAACACGGGCCATAGGAAAAGCTGGCTGTATTTCCCAAGGCACAAAACAACTGTAGGTAAACCTGATTGCTGCTTATATTTTCAGTGCGGTCCTAAAAGCCTTGCTTGTTTTTACTGTACACCTTTGTATTATGAACCAATGGTCCACAACCCCTTCTGGCCATTGGTTAGAGTGCCAGTCGCAAAAGCCAATGATGATGGGAGACTATGACCAACTAAATAAAAAAAAAGAATTAAAAATAATTTTGACATTAAAGCTTCTGCTCCTGCTTCCTAGGGAAGATTGTACCTCCAAGGTGGCTTCAAGGGGCACTGGTTGACCTGGTGCTCTGCCAGTGCTTGGAAGACAGTTGTCAAGAACTCACATGTAGATGGCCTGTCAGATCTAATTAACATGGAATTACATATTATTATATTTGAATAGCAATATAGTGCAAATGATCAGAAAAAGCTACCTACCATATGAGAAAGAATGAATGCCATTTTATGTGTGAAAAGTAGACAGACACATGTATCTGAGGAATCCTTGCCTCCTTTTTAATAGTAGTCTTAATAGCAACATACAATAATGAAAACAGTTTTATAAAAGACATCAGTACTGGAGTACTGACACATAGACATTAGAATTCAATAGGCATCTAGAATTATATTGAATCATTGTCCTTTGTAGTGCAGAGCTGCCGGTGATTCAATTTTTGACTGTTCATTTAAAACACGTACTGATATTCTTTGTGGGGGAGGAGAGAGGAGTATACAGTAAAACTTTGTGAGTGTCTTTTATACAGGTTATGTCACAAATTGCTTTACTTCATTACAAAGATAAGTATAATAAATAATAGCTAAACAAAAGAAAACCTGAACTGGTGAGAGGAAAAAATTCTTCCTAATATCTTTTAAAATCAAAATAAAGGTTGCAGAAAAATTTAAAAAGGTGGTTCCAAATGACAGAATATTCAGAAGTTTCTTGTACGAGAAATGATGAAAGAAGGCATAAAAATACTGAAAAAAGTGGAAGGAGGAAAGAAATATGAAAGAGAAAGGTGACTTTATGGAGTAAGCTTGAGTAAGGCTATGGAGAAGAAATACAAATTGGATCTTGAAATGAAAATGGGGTTCTGTGTAGTCGTTTGAGGATTTGTGATGTTCACTCCTTTGAGTGCTTGAGCTAGGCTGAAGGGGGACATATTCTGCACATTCAAAAATAACAGAAAGTGGGTCAGCCAAAGAGGAAGGAGTTATGGTAGTTCTAGTGAAAGAAGCTGCAGGCATGGATGACAAGATCATGTTGAGAAAAAAGGTGATGTTTCATCCTTTGGACATATTCTGTTATGTTTAGCTTGTCACTGCTCTTTCTTTTCCTAAAATGCAGTTGTTTGTTTATTGAAAGTCAAGACTTTAACCAAGTGAAACGATGTGTTTCATTTCATATAACAGGGCTGTTTCTAATCCACATTCCTGCTGTGACTCATTATAGCATGCTGTCCCATCCAGCTCCACTTAAATTTAAAAATACTACATTCCAGTATTAACATTTCAAATCCCTCAGACTCCCAAATCATGGGATTTATCTGATTCTCTTGAAAGAAAACTTGTTCTGTGGAAGAAAGTTTATTAAATGTCTTGAATTTTTGGGAAGAATTATAATTATGCCACAAGAGATTTGAATTCCAGCCCTCTCCATTCCATTAATCTTGAAAGTTAATTTCTGGTAGTGATGAAAGCTGAGGATGGGCTCAATGCATTAGTTAGCACACTAGTTTTCTTGTCAAACTGCTAACTTCTGACAATGATGGCAAGTGCTTGTATTAGAAAACAGAAAGCCATGCAGCAGACGGCACACTGCTTTGAAAGCATATGGCATTATTTTTTTCCCTCGTTGAGCCACAGTGTAGAAGTACATGTCAAAACAACATCTATTTTAGAAAGAAAATGGTTAGATCCCATTGTTGATTTACACTCTCTTCACACTTTATGATGAAGTCAAAACTCATGGTAACAAGAGAAAGGAGCTGACTGCAAAGGCTGAATTCATTTAGTTTTAATCCCCAAAACAAATGATGAAAAGTGATGAGAAGTGAGAAAATGCAGACATATTCAGTGAGATTAAAACAGGAGAGAATGAAGTCCAATATTTACCAAATGTGCCTGGAAAAGCTATATCCATGGGCCCACTCAGCTTTTCCTTTAAGGAAACACAGGTTTGTCCAATGGATGAGTCTATATAGCAAAACAGCTTTTACATCTAATTTTCAGACTAAGGCAGATGAGATATGGAGCAGCCCACAGGATTCCCATCTGCCAAGCACCACACCGATTTGCCTTTTGAGGGCACATTTTGGTATATGATTCCCTGATCATCCCAGTACGGCAGCACCAGTTTGTGAACAGGACTACATGCCCACTGGTTTCCTCAAGGAACAGGGTAGGAGGACTAAAAAAGGGTTGTGCCTTTTGAGGCAAAAATGCACTTTGTGAGCAATGATAGCAAAATGAGATGGAAGACTTAACAAAAGGGATTTGGGGTAAATAAGCTAAACACTCAGTGCAATTTATGTTCTGAAAAGCATACATTCAAAGACAAACCAACATAGGTACATTCCCAGAAACTTTTCTGAGCCACACTCATCTTCTTTTCCTTGGCACCTAACCCAGCAATTCATTTGGCCCTTCTCTGTAAACGTCTGGCAGTTTCTGCTTGAACCTATGAACCACCTGCCCTTTCTTCCCAAGCAACCTCCAAGATGCTTCACTTGTGACAGTACGGTAGTACTTTTCACTTGGGATGGGATAACACGTCAAAAACTCCATCACTTTATTTCAGAGCCACTTGGATGAGATCATTACAGAGAGCCTGTGAAGCTCTCAGAACAGTCTACAGGCAGTTCAGAAATCCATCAGGTACCCCTTTGAGTTAAATAACACCATTCTCAATCTACAGCTCAGACAAAAAAGAAGCACAAGAAAAGTAATTGAGTGTCTCAAATAGGTTCATTCACTGTCACTGGAAAAACTGCAGAGGAAACTCTACTTTTTTGGCAGTGTTGCATACTACCACTGCATGGGATTTTGCAGTAACCTAGGCGCCACAGAGGCACACCACCCTTGTCAGAAACCAAGTCTGAACTAGCTGTTGAATAAACAAAACCTTCGCCACAGGGAGAGGCGAATGTCCTAAGGCCAGCTCCTGCCCTCAGGCATGGGATGATTCCCACAGCATCCCTTCCAGGCTGCTACCCTAGGAGTCCTGCTTGGCTTCATCCCAATTGTGTGCCTTTTCTAAGGTCAGAGATAGATGCGTAGAAATTCAATGCAAACTTTTTTTTTAGTGCAGAGCTTTCCTCCTTACCTTTATCTTTTTCTTGCTGGAATCCATGATCATTTTCCAATCTGATCCATTGTTGCTGTAGCCAATTTTGAATTTTTTCATGAATACTTTGTTTTCTCGGTGCTTGCCTCCTTGGACAATTATGCCCCTCACTTTCTTTTCTTCACCAAGGTCTATCTGAAGCCATTCGTTTGTATATGGATGAGTAGTTGGTGGCAGCGCCCAACCTGAACGGCTTGTTATGAGGCGAGCATTTTCTGGAATCCAGTTTCGATCAACTTGAGTAGATGCAGTAATCTGAGAGTCAGGAATGAGCCCAGACACCATACCCAGCATCCCAGAGCAAGGATAATCTACAGAGAAAAAAAACCCACAAATAAATTAAATAGGTAATCTGCACAAGCACCAAAACAGAAACAGGACACATCAGTCAATTCAACTATCATAAGCAATTACTTCTTTCTTTCTTATATCCAAAATAATATATTTGGATTTGTATATAATTTTCATTTGTTCAAACTTGCACATCCTAGTTTTGGCAGGAAGTACCAAAATACCACAAGTGTTTCTGGCTTGATGGGAACCAAAAGGATCAGAAAATCCTATTCTATTCTTGTTTTCTATTCTTCTTGCTAAAGCAAAAGAGTGCAGGGTCACATCTGAATTTGTGCATATTTCCCTAGAGAAAAATTCCAAAATCAGCCAGAACCTGGTTGCAGATTACTTAATTTTGGTGACACTGGAAAGGGAAATCTCTTATACAGTCTGTAAAGTTTAATTTATTGCTATACTTGAGATTTTCTTATTGTATTTCTTTGGTCTCTCAGGCTTTTTCAAATGACACAGAAGCTAAATAGTTGCTTCTTTTATGGTCCCAGATAAATATAAGTTAGAAGTAGGAAAAGCTGCTAACAAGGAATGAAGATTTCCAATATACAATGTAACAGCAGTTCTGCTGATATTACCTTCATCTAATCTGAAAAGATTTCATAGAATGACCTGGAATTCTATAGTATAGTCATCAGTAAACTTATTTTTCTTCTCTATGGAAACCAGTCCTAAGAAACATTTTCAAGAGTGAAGAAACACTTTAAGGGGAAAAAAAATATCCCTAGAACTATTAAAAATCAGTGCCAATGTATTAAGTGCTATAAAATGATGCTAGATATCTTTTAGAAAAATCAGCTTTGTAAAAAATATGAAATCATTAATATTTTCTTTAGTCTATAACTTTTATTTTTACATATAAAAATGCCTCCGTTATAGAAATCCTAAAACTAGAAAAAAAGACTTCTAAAAAAATTCCTGCTTGTGCGTGTTTTTTTTTTTTTCTTTTTTTCCCCCCAAGATAGTATTTTGATGATAATGAATGCCTTTTGCTGTTATTTCAGAAAGCATTTTGGGCAGTTATTTTGGTAGTTAACTGTGATGTAAAGGAGTTCCATTCCAATGCTGATCACTAGCGGGAACCTGACTATATATGTCTAGTTGCCTGAATAGGCTTCAGATCTAAGTGTTTGTACCTTGCAATGCTTTTGAACCTAGTTACGTATGTTTGTTCCTTGGGAAACCTGCTGAGAACAACCTACAAATGGCAAGTATGAAAGAGAGGGACTGGAGGGTTAGGAAGGTAAAACAAGATGAGAATTTGCATGGACCAGTAAAATAATTGCAAGAAAAGTGATTAAACCTTGATATTTTTTTCACTTCTTAAAGCTGAACACCTGAAAGATAGTGCCAGAACAACATTCGGATAACACTGGGTGTTTGGGTGGTTGTGTCTTCTTTTCTTTTTTCTTTTTTTTTTTTACATTTCTACATTCAGACCACAGTGGAAATAGTGAAGATGCATTTCACTTATAAATATAAAACCTACAGCACAGGCACAATAAATTCCCTTGGTTTTAAGATCCTTCCCAGGACCTACCTGTTATCTTGCAGCCATAAACTTCAAATCTCAGTGATACTCCATTTTCCCAAGACACAGGTCTAATTCGCACAAACCGTGTTAAAACTGGTTTGGCAAAAGGTCTGTAAACAACCTCAGTGGGATTGCTATTCCCTTGAAACACCTTTGTGTGGAAAGAAAAAGTATATATTTGTTAGGCTTTCTCTGAAATGGTGTTCATAATTCTGTGTTTTACAGATAGTTACGATACAAGGTCTGACTAGGGTTATTTTGCAGGGTGGGGATGAGACAAAAGACTTGCACGGGGAACTATTTCATTAAACTCCTAAGACAATTTTTGCACACAGATAAGCTTTCCTTGGGGAGGAAAAAATAAGATGTAAGGTGTTCAGTGCTACTAAAAAATACTTGTCACCTGCAGAGTCCCGCAACACACCATAACACTGCAGAGCAGACCAGGAGAGCTCAGGGCCATCGCGAGAGCAGGAGCTCACCTGACTGCAGCAAGTGTCTGTCCACTCCCTGCCTGTTTTGAGGTGTTCCTAATGCCCAGATCTATATGTAGGAACAATATACACTGGTCTTTGTCACCCAAGGACTGCCGTGTCCTGGAAGAATCCCTCAATGCCCCATTAGGGCAGTTTTATTCCTCGTACACTTGTAGAATGATGCAAAAAGCTACAGAACCTCAGGCCCAAATTAAAAGTTTGGATTTCAGTTAGGCCATATAAAAATGCTATATGGAGTTAGGATAAAAACATGTATTATTTTGCTCTCCTTGGGCTTAAGAGTTTTGCAAAGCGTATCGTGCAAACCTTGCTTTGTCAACCTTCCGTTTTTAAATCCTTGTTAACAAGTACTCAGACTTTCTTTCTCCTTGCATACCGAGATGGAAGTCTATTTAAAATCTGTATAGCAGGCTCTAAGATTTTCTCTGCGTCCCCTGAGGCTAACAGTGAAATTAGATGAACAATGAGACTTCCACAAGAAGGGACAGGATTGTGCTGTGCTTTCATGTTGAGGATCCTGCAGATGCGCTCCTTCCTAGCAGAGGCGAAACCTTGCAATGTTCTAGTCCGAAGAAGGCGATTCAGCTTCCTGCTCCTTCCTCACGTAGAGGGGACCAGTTTCCTGTTGTTTTCCATGGATACAAACCCCTGTCCTTTTACGGGAGATTCTCCCATTTCTTACACACACTGTCTACTTTCCTGTTTGTTACTTGCAATAACTGTACTAATTTGGAGTGGAGGCCAGCAGCGCACAGCTGTCAACTCATCAGGCTCAGTTACGTCTCAAGTAATTTAATATAGGAGTTTCATATCTGGCAAGAGATTTTAAATGGAGCTACGTTTCTTTTCAGCCACTTTTTTCTGTGGGAGGACCTGCTGTGGTTTTCTGAAGGTCTGCATTTGACAGAGAAAATGAGTCTTTTCTCAAAAGTACACAGCTCCTTATACGTGGTTAGTGCAACACTTGTGTGAGGCTGCCTTGAGATCTGCAGCTGCCTGCTTTTGTTGTTCCTTCAGTGGCCAAGTCTCCTTAACTTTTCATTTGAATAAAGGTATCAGAGGGAGACTGCTGCGTAGTTTTTTCTTGTCCCGATCAACAGCAAAATGTTGCCATTTTAGAAACTCGATTTTTTTAATAAATCCTTTGAACAAATAACACAGGTTTAGGAAGTATTGTCACTAATTAAGGACAGCATGTACTAGAGAAACTCATGTAAAATACACTTGTGGAGAGTGTACAAATTGAATTTGGTAATGAAAAATCAGGCATGGTCTGATTTTGAAAGAGGCATTTGTTCAGATTACAGGAACCAGAGCCAGTGTGTCATACCAGCCACAGCGTTGGCTCCTCTTGTGACTCTGGGCAAGTCAGTTATTGTACCTTTATACATCATTATACAGTGCCCACATTGTGGCATTTGACCTTCTAAAGTTCCTTCTCTGTAAAACCAGGATAATACCTGTCAAAGAGAAGCTTTTGGGATTCATTTTTTATTGTTTTACGAAGTGCTTCAAAGAAGAAAGATGTATGTGTTAAACACTGCTACCATTTTGATTAGATAAATGTAGTGGACTTGGCATAGCACTTACAGATGAGTTAGGGACAAACGAGTAACCAAATACTTAGAGCTAGGTATGGTTACACAGACGGAGTTTAATATTACACAGCTCTTCTGGGTCTTCACAGGTGGGTCACACAGAAGCTATTTTGTAAGGGAGGTACCACAAAACCTTTCCCGTTGCATCAGCCCCTGGCAGCCTCTGGCAGCCTCTGGGGATGCTGCTCCCAGGCACATCCTGAGCGAGGTGGGAAGGGAGGCACAGCCTCACTGGGACTATTCATGTGAGAGTTGGAACAGAATTGACTTCTCAGTAACGAGCTTTATGCTCATGGTAGCGGATAATGAAGATTTTTCTTACAAGTGTCTAAAGCTGTTTCATTGGGAGGTCACAGAGAGCAAATCTGCTGATAAATGGAAAGGTGATAAAAATCTATAAGGATGGAAAGATGTGCCTAATTATCTGCCTGCATGACCCCCATCACTGAGATGCTTGGAAGTCTAACAAACCACTAATGACTTGCTAGCACTCCTGCAAGACAGCGTGGCTATGCACGGGGAGCTGAGGCGCTGACACACTGCATAACCAGAGCTTCACTGCAGAGAAGGGACCTACATATTTTTTAAAAGGTTCCCCATAATGTTTTTCTCAAGGTCACATAGAAAATCTCTGGTAAACTGGGAAACAGCAGCACATTCCAGGGAAAAGACCCAAACCACTCAAATTGTGGTGGGCACAAGGGACAGGGCAGCACCTTGCACCTTTTTCAGCTGCTCTAGGCTTTAGTTAAACAATTTCTGTGGCCCTTTACTACTGAGACAATAGCTATCTTTTGGATTTAGGATATTGCTAACCCTGATCAACCTGATTAAACCTGTGATACCTTATTCCTGTTTTTTTAACAACTGATAGTAACTAAACAATTCAACAGCCTATTTCTTGGCCGAAGAGTTGTAAAAGAGAAAAGACTTACAACAGGCTTGTTTCCCTCCTTCAGTGTAATCCAGTCCTCTCCATTGGAGCTGACATCTACGCGGTATGTTTTCAGATAATATTCTTTCTTTGTTTCTTTTGAAATGGCTCCTTGGGTCCCAATTCCAGAAACAAAGCGGAGAAGGCCTAGATCTACCTGTGGTAAAGAATGAATTGGGACGTGAGGATGATCAGTTTAGGGCACAACAACATTGCAGAAGTGACACCCCCTCTGACCCCCCCCCCATGTTTTACAAAGATAATAAGGATTTTATGTAAAGGAAATTGCAACGTATTGTTAATAATAACATAGCCCTAATCTCCTCTTTTGTAAACAGTGTCATCACAGGACATGGGAACATTTGCCTAATGAGCCGGGAGGGCTATCCACATGCCAGAGAATTACCTTTCCTCTGTCGGAGAGGAACCAGAGACCCCATCATTGTGAGTGGGGACCACCAGACTGCAGAGAAGTTACTAGAGAAGTTCCTCAAGGATCAGTCTCGTGAACAATCTTACTTAATACTTTCATTAACTACCTTGCATAGATGCTAATGAAATTCACTAAGGATACAAAGCTGCAAGGCATTGTCAATACAGAGGAGAGTCATGCAGTGAGAACTGAATGACCCTGAGGACTGCAGTATTAGAAATAGGATGAAATTTAATAGTACAATATCAAAGTAATGCACTTAGGGAATGATAACAAGAATTCTGCTAAACCCCAGGAGCACTTGCAAACAGAAGAGGAGAAAAGAATCCCATAGTGTATTAGTCACAGGATAATTATGAATCACTGTGTGACTGTGTTGGGAAAAAGGCAAATGAGTTGCTTGTACCATATGATGTATTTGAAGAAAACAGAAAGAAGCATTAGCACAAGTGTAATAATTCTGTTCCAACTGTCAAATGTAGTGAACTTTAATCATTAGAAAATAATGGCATTTTGAACTTGCTGGAGAAATGGATGCTATGGTGTGCACATGAATGTGTGTTAGAGGCCTTCTCTCTCCTTCTCTCATGAAGTTACAGTGCAACCAAATGGACAAGTGATTTAGGTTAACCTTCCCCTCCCCCAGTTAAGTTATTTGTCATCCAGATCTGTTTCCTCATCTAGTTCATCATGTGGCATCACAGAAGATGTATCGGCATAACTGGGAGGATGATGTGGGGTGCAAGAGTGTGACTACTCAAATTGGTTCTGCTGGGAAAAAACCCCCCTTTGTCCCAGTGCACAAGTCCAGCCACCAAATGGCTGAAACTAGGCACAAAACTTTCTCACAGCCAGGTTGGTGACCACAGCTTTGAAACACCTGCCATTTCTCTAGCCATAACAACAAACCAATTAAAATCAAATTCATCACCCTCTTTCTCTGCAGCTAGAACCTTCTCTTTGTTTCTTAAAGCAAACCATTTAATTTCAATATAAAATGACACTATTGACAAAATATTAATCAGAGTAATTTATTCCTCTAAACTTCAGCTGTCCAGATTTTAGCAGGATAATAATAGGTTGAATTAACCCTTCTCAAGTGAATGTCCCATGAATGTCTCAGGCTTTTTCATTATTTCCAAAGTACGCAGGATGCAGAATATACGTCCCCTGTGTCCCACAGGCATCCTTTTTCCTGGATGTATGTCATATATCCAAAGGCACTGGAGCCGTTAAATCAACATGCTCTGCATTCTCTCAAAAGGCTGAAGGAAGTGCTATTGAGGACAGACTGGCTGCTGTCTCAATGCCCATGTCATATGCAAGGCATTTTAAAGTCTTCCAACACAAGAATAGCAGCCTTGTGTGTGACAGATAGAACTAGCTTTCAGGGCAAAGCCCCTGCCCTTGCCCCAGTTTTTAAGGCTGTTAAAGTCTATATGTAACATTTTAGCCCTTGTCTTTAGGGGTGAAATACTGCAACATCTTGTTTTGTCGTGATAAAAAAATTCAGTCTTAAAAAAAAAATCCCTGTACCACCTTACAAAAACAATCAAGTGATTTAAAGTAACTGGAGAGTCTCAGATGTTAGATTGTTGCAATCTGAAAGTTAATGGGGGAATCTGGGCATCACTGCGCTGAGCAATCTCAGCTTAACTTCAAATGCTCTCCAAACTGTACTCTGCTGATTGTAAAGTGTGCTGCACTGAGTTATGTCCAATACCACATTCACTTCCAGGCTGAAGTGCACTTGAAAATCTGGAAGTCTGAGGGAGTGTAGAGCTAAGTTATTTAAATGATCTGCTTCTCTTACAATTTAAAACAGCTCTTCAGTTTTGAAATGATTAGGGTCCCAAGCCTGTACCGTTCCAACTGATTTGAAATGATTCTAGTAGGGGCTTTTAAATATACAATAAGTACTTCATTGTGAATATAGTCAAGCAATGGCCTATTACAAGAGTTCTAGGTATTTGAAGCCAAGTTAAAATTTAACATTGGGGTTTTAGGGGAAGGTTTGATTAGCTCATGCCTGAGCTAACAATTACAGCTACCAGTCACTGACCGTTCAGGCAACTCAGGCTTGTCTCATCAAAGAACTTCAGGCCCCCGGATTTTGCTTGGTCCCAAATGCTGGTATTCAGCACTCCCCCTTAACTCCTGGGGCACTGGATATCCTACAGCATCTGTCTCACTGCCCAGAACTAAGTCCTAAACACACAAAGGATGTAGACATCTACCTTCATGCCTAAAACCTGGCAGAATTCAAAAGGCAGGCAGAAATTCTCCTGCCAGAAGTAAACAGCTCGCTGGGAGAGAGAGAGATTCTGAGATGACCTCTGATTTATTGCCTATAGGTAGGGAAGAGGCAACCTCATTAGCACTCCTGGCTCCAGTAACTGTGTAATACAGTACAGGAGGAGGGAGGCATCTCTTGTTGTTAGGGAGAACATCTTTTCACATAGATGTGCTCTCTCTGGATCAGAAAGTCTTTACGTGCTTCTTGAAAACTGGAACTATGTCAACAGCAGTCGTCTCCTGGAGTGTCTGGAGGCTGATGGCTCGAGTGTTCAGCTGCATGCCACAGCTTTAAACCTCTTGCAAAAGCAAGCTGTAACCCCAGACCTGCCACATGCCAAGGGGGTGTTTGCTCATAGGCGGATAGAGGAAAAAAGAATAACCTTTCTTCATCAGTGTTTTGTGAGCAAGAAGCAGTGCAAACAAGAAAGGTGGGGCTAAGCAGCAGAGAAGCGGAAGGGCTGGAATTTTTAGTACTAACTCTGTGTCAGTGTGGAGGTCCGGGAGAGAGAGCGCTTAAGACATTTTCCTCCCTTTTGACAGTTCTCTGCAGTGGCCTCTGGAGAGGAACCGCTCCTCTCCAGGTGCATGCAAACAGAATTGCAATACTGAGCACCCCTCTGTGGTGCCAAAGTATGTTTGTAAATCAAGCTCTAAATGTACCAATCTTCATCTCTAAGAAAGGTGATAGAAATAAATTATGTAGAAGACTACCTTGGCAACTGCATGACACATCTTAGGGGCCTGTTAAGCTCACCTTCATTAATCACTTTGTGATATATTTTGTTTTCTTTCCAGTGTCTTTTGAATCTTTACTTTCTGTAAAATGCAGAATTGTGCATAAAATACACATTCTAAATGTCACAGGGACTGCTCAGAGTTGAAGTTCAAGCATATCAACTGCTATTAACAACTGGAACCTGAAAGTACCAAAACGTAGCTGTGGTAAGACCCAGCTCTTCTGTACCACGTTATCCAGAGGAATCATTGCAGAGGGCAGTAGCTCTAGTACAGCTGTGTCACCAGGTAGGAAATTCTTACGCTTTTTGGAGGCTTATGCTTATGGAGTCCAACTGCCTGTGTAATTTCCAGTGAACTTAGTATGTCCTCTCCACAGAGGTCTCCAAGTGTTAGCATGACCAGAGGTAACCCATTTTCCTCAGATCCAGTCTCCTCCAGCTGAGATAGTAATACAAATCTTTGACAACTAGCTTTTTGTTTTGGCCTTCTTGTCCTTTTTGTTTCAAGAACTTGTGTTTCACGTTAAAATGAACTGTGGAGGGAGGTGGTGATGAAATACAGTACTTTTGACTATGAACATCAAATGCATTTCCCTGCAATTATTTGACATTTAACTTTCTGCACATACGATAAACAAACATCTGGTATTTATTTTGGAGGATGCAAGCGATTCTGTAAGTTATTGCATGCTGTAAGGCTGTGATCTGAGATAGGCAGCTGTCTCCAAACCTGAAATCTTGACATTTCATTTCCGTGGCCAGAGTTTCAGCTTTGACTAACTGCAGTATGTTGCTAGTTCTTTTTTCAAATTTTGTTCACTTTCATTCAGATTAAAAAGCATCTCTCTCTTGGAAAATGATGCCTTAGGGCCTTATCCAAAAACACAGCCTTTGATAATTGCCTGTGCTGCAATGTGACTGACTTTATTCGTAAGTACAAGACTGGGAGCAGACTTGCCTATAGGAATGGGCCCCTAACTTACAAGAAATGAGGAACATCCCAAGTGTGTATTTTTTTCCAGGAGGGAAATGTTCATGTAAAAAAAGCCCCAGTTGTTCCTACTTCTAAAATCAGTTTCTTTCCTGTGAGAGCACATTGCAAGACGCTAGCTGTTTCTACATATGAATTACTTCCTCTCTATTTATTCTGCAATATCTTTTAGCATCCAGGAAAAATACTTTTATTGCTGTCTTACCATCTCCAAAAAATGTGGGTGGGCGACACATTTTTAAGACAGATATGCAAGGGGTGGCATTTTTTTAGAGACCAGAGAAGGAAAAAGAATAATGTTTAGCTCTGCACAATGTATCATGTAGCAAATCTTAGCAAACTACTGGATAAAGAACAACACACAACATACACGACTTGAAATAAATATTGCTGCTTCCTGTCATCATACATAACCATGTCGTAGTATGGAAGACCTTATTTTCAGAATGAAAATCTGCCTTGCTAAATAAAATACAGTCATTGAGGGAGCTGTAGCAAGGGAGCAGTTTTACCAGCTTTTAACACTCCTACTGTAGGTCTGTTCAACAGCCTGAGAAAATAAAGGACAAAGTGCTGGAGTTTGATTAACAACAGGAAGCTTTTTGTTGTGGGCATCTCTTGTGGCTTGAAAAGCTGTATAATCCATCACTTGACACACCATACCAAAGTAAATATTTTTAGAGAACTGTGTCATTTCC